ATTTGTTGAAGATGCTGTCATTTTTCATGTGTATTTTTGGGTTCTTTATCAAAAATCAGTTGTGCATGTGTGTGTGGATTTATGTCTGGGTCTTCAATTCCATTCCATTGGTAAACCTGTCTGTTTTTATATCAATACCATGCTGGGTTTTTTTTAGTTGCTGTAGTTCTTTAACACTACTTGTGATCTGAGATGGCAATACCTCCAGCCATTCTTTTATTATTGAGGATTATTATGCTATCCTGGGTTTTCTTTATTTTTATATGGATTTAAGATTTTTTAAATTTCTATGAAGAACTATGTTGGAATTTTGATGGGGATTGCATTGAATCTGTGGATTTGGTTTTGTTAGGATGGCCTTTTTCATAATATTAATTCTATAAGTCTATGAGTATAAAAGTTCTTTTCGTCTTCTGGTGTTTTTGATTTCTTTCTTCAGTGTCTTAACATTTTTATTATATGTCTTTCACTTGTTTGGTAAGAGTTTCCTAAAAATATTTTATATTTTTGAGGCTTTGTAGAAGGTACTATATCCATGATTTCTTTTATAGTATGTGTGTCCTTTGTATATTGCAACGGTACTGATTTTTATGTGTTGATTTTGTATCCTGCTACTTTGCTGAAAGTGCTTATCAGCTATAGCAGTTTCCTGGTGGAGTTTTTCGAGTCTTTTATGTATAGTAGCATATCACTTGCAAATAAAGAATACTTTGTCTTCTTCCTTTTCAAGTTGTATCCCCTTGATCTCCTTCAGTTGTCTTATTGCTCTAGCTAAGACTTCAAGTACTATGTTGAATAGATATGGGGAGCATGGGCAGCCTTGCCTTGTTCCTGATTTGAGTGGAAATGCTTTGAGTTTCTCTCCATTTATTTTGATGTCAGCTATAAGCTTGCTGTATATTGCATTTATCATGTTGAGGTATGTCTCTTGTGTCCTTGGTCTCTCCAGGACTTTTATCATGAAGAGATGTTGGGTTTTATCAAAGGCTTTTTCTGTATCTAATAAAATCATCATGTTTTTTTCTTTTAGTCTGTTTAATGTGGTGGATTATGTTTATTTATTCATGTATATTGAACCATCCCTGCATCTCTGGGATGAAGTCAACTTGAACACAGTAGATAATCTTTTTGATGTGTTCTTGGATTCAGTTTGTAAACATTTTATTGAGAATTTTTACATGTGTGTTCATAAGGGATTTTGGCCTGTGATTTTCTATTTTTGCTAGTTCTTTGTGTGGTTTTGATATTAAGATAAAGTGGCTTCAGTTTCTATTTGTAGGATAATTTGAGGAGGGTTAGTGTTAGTTCTCCTTTGAAGGCCTGGTAGAATTCTGGACTGAATCCATCTGGCCCTGAGATTCTTTTTGGTAGGTAGATTTTAAATTACTATTTGTATTTCACCAGAAATTTAAACTGTTATTTCATCTTGATTTAAATTTGATAGGTTGTATATATAATAAATTTACTCTCTTTAAGGTTTTTCCACTTTGATGGAATACAGATTTTAAAGTGTTTTTATGATTCTCTGAATTTCCTTAGAGTCTGTTGTAGTTCCTCCCTTTTCATCTCTAATTTTATTAATTTAGAACTTCTTCCTCTGTCATTTGGTTAATTTAGCCAAAGATTTGTTGATTTTATTGATTTTTAACAATGAACCAAATCTTTGTTACATTGACTCTTTGTAAGTTTTTTTTTCTATTGCATTGATTTCTTCCTGTCTAGTCTTTTGGGGTATTACTTCTTATTTTTCTAGACCTTTCAACTGTGTAATGAAGTTATTAATATGGGATTTCTCCATTTTTTTTTTTTTTTGGTTTTTTGAGACAGGGTTTCTCTGTATAGCTTTGCGCCTTTCCTGGAACTCACTTGGTAGCCCAGGCTGGCCTCGAACTCACAGAGATCCGCCTGCCTCTGCCTCCCGAGTGCTGGGATTAAAGGCGTGCGCCACCACCGCCCGGCAGGATTTCTCCATTTTTATGTAGGTATCTAGTACTATTAACTTGCCTCATTGTCTCCTACAGGTATGGGTAGTTTGTGTTTTCATTTTAATTCGATTCTAAGTTTTTAAATTCCATCTTGATTTCTGTCTTGACCAAATTTTCATTCAGTGGTGAGTTGTTCAGTTTTCATGATTCCATATAATTTATGCCACTTCTGTTGTTGATATCCAGCTTTAATCCTTGGTGGTCAGATAGGATGCAGAATGTTATTTCAAATTTCTTTTATATATTAAGACTTGCTTTGTGAGCTGGTAAGACACAATGTCTCAATATTTTCTCTATTTATTTTTGAAAAAGTTTGGGTAGATTGTTATAGAGTTCTCTGTTAGGTCCACATGATTTGTGACACTTTTTCCCTTTTTAATTTTTAAAATTTTTATTTTTGAGATCATAATTTAATTGCAACATTTCTCCTTTTCATTTCCTCCCTCCAAAATCTTCCATATACCCCTTCCCATTCTCCTTCAAATACATGGCCTCTTTAAAAAAATCAAATTGTTAGTGTGTGTGTGTGTGTGTGTGTGTGTGTGTGTGTGTGTGTGTGTAAACATATATATTCCTAAATAGAACCTGTACAGTCACTATAAGGCTACCTGTATGTATGTTTTTGGGGCTTTGGCCTTAGATAGCCAATTAGAGTGCTCTTCCCTGGGGAAGGCCACCTCTCCCATTTCTAGCCTTCTTCAGTTGCCTATAGTTCTTTGTGTACAGTTGAGGCCTCGTGGGCTTTTTTCCCTCCAGTTTGGGATGTTCATTGGTGTCATCCTTGTTCAGCTTGCCTTAAGTGTTGGAATGTTTTGCAGATGTATCATTGGAACTGGGCTCCACAACTATACATATTGATTGGTTGTGCTTTTCTGTTAGTGGTCTCTGTCTGTTGAAAAGAGAAGCTTCCTTAATGAAGGGAGAAGACTAAACTTATCTGTGAGGATAAGGACAAATGTTTTAGACTATTGTTAGGGATTATTCTGGTTTATTAAATTAGTGGAATGTTGTTAGTTAGAAGTTTCTGTTTATTTTTTATCTAGATGACCTGTCTATTGGTAAGAGTGGATATTGAAATCACTCACTATCACTATGTTAATATGTGATTGTAGCTATTTTTATGAACTTGGAAGCCCTTGTGTTTGGTGCATAAATGTCCAGAATCGTAATTTTTTCTTTTGGCAGATTTTTTCTTTAATGACTATATAATGTTTTTTTCTATCTCTTCTGATTAGTTTTGTTTTGAAACCTGTTTTGTCAGATATTAAAATAGCTACACCTGCTTGTGTCTTGGGTCCATTTGCTTGGAATACCATTTCCCATCCTTTTACCCTAAGGTAATATCTGTCCTTGGTGGTGAGCTGTGTTTCTTGAATGCAGCAGAAAGATGGATCAGCAGAAAGAAAGATTTTCTTATCAAATCTGTTAGTCTGTGGTTTTTTTTGAGGGGGGAAGAGTATAGATCATTAGTATAGATAGTTATTAATGATTGGTGTTTATTGATTCCTGTTATTTTGTTGTGGTGTAGGATTTCTCCTCTTTTGATTAATGATTCCAGGATTATTTATCCTTTGTGTCTTCTTGAGCATACTTAACATTCTCTTCAGCCTGAAGTTTCCTTCTAGTGCCTTCTATAGAGCTGGATTGGTGGGCAGAAATTGCTTAAATCTATTTTTATTTTGAAATGTTTTTTTCTTTTTCTGTCAACTGTGATTAATAATTTTTCTAGGTCTAGTGGCCTGATCTGACATCTATGATCTCTTAGAGCTTCTAGAACATCTATACAATCCCTTCTGACTTTCAGACTCTATAGAAAAGTCAGGTGTTATTCTAATTGTCCTGCCTTTACATGTGACTTGGTCATTTTCCCTTGCAGCATTTTGTTCTATATATTTAGTGTTTTGATTATTATGTGGCCAGGGTATTTTCTTTTCTTGTCCAGGCTATTTGGTGTTCTGTATGTTTCTTGTACCTTGATAAGCTTCTCTTTCTTTAGAGTGGGTAAGTTTTCTTTTATGGTTTTGTTGAAAATATTTTTGGCGCCTTTGAACTAGGCTTTTATTTCCTTCTCTATACCTATTATTCGTAATTGTGGTGTTTTAATATTGTCCCAGATTTCCTGGGTTATTTATGCATGGATTTTTCTTTTTAATATTTAACACTTTCTTTTACTAAGATATTCATTTCATCTACTTTGTCTTCAAGATCTGAAATTCTGTCTTTTGTGTCTTTTAATCTGTTGCTGAGGCTTAGATATGAGCTTTTTGTATGGCATCCTGAGTTTTTCATTTTCCTTTTTATTTCATTTTGGGTTTTCTTTGGTGATTCTATTTCTTTGTTAAATTCTACTCGCGTGTCTTGAATTGCTTTCACTATTTCACTCAAGGGTTTGGTGTTTTCATGGTCTTTACGGTATTTATTTATGTCTTCTTTAAAGTCTTTGAACATATTAAGAATCAGTGTTTTTGAAGTCCTTGACTTGTGTGTCAGCTAAATTGCTTTTCTTATAGTCTAACATAATAGAGTTGCTGACTTCTTGAGGAAGCACATTGCATTGATTCATGTTTGTGTTTTGGTGCTGGGACCTAGGCATCTAAAGTTATGATGTTTAAGGTGTTTCTTGGTATAGACATCTGGTGTCATCTTTGTTAGGTGGGTCCTTTGGTCCTAGCTGCTGTAAGGCTAGCAGTGGGGTAGCTGTGCCTCATCCAAGTATGGTGGCTGGGGGTCCTTGGCAGAGTTGTTGTGCAGGTCAGTGAGGAGTCACAAAGGAATGAAGCTGGGCTAGAAAGAAAGGATGAGAGGGGAAGTGGGAGAGAACTAGAGGGAGGCTGAGTCCCTAAGGGATTAGGGTGGGCTGTGAGGAGGGCCTCCTGGAGGCAGGGTACAACAGAAGTAAGAATAACTATGGAGAGTGAGGTATTAAATTTTAAGGTACACACGGCATATACTAATTATAGTTGATTCCTTGCCTAGTATGAAATATTCAATGTTTGTCTTTTTTTCTCTCCACAGAAAAGAGCTGGCAGACCTCATGAATGTGGATGAACAGAAAGTGAAGGTCAGTCAGTTTATGTATTAGTTTACCACAGTGCTGATCTCAGACCTGCCTCAAAACATGGATGACCTTGTCCTAGGCATGTGCAATTGCTGTATTTTTTCCTTGTGTGTTTTATGTTGGTAAATAAGATTTGGACTACATGGCCTTGGAAAATGGAAAAGGGAAAAGGGAAACATCAGCTAGTGTTTCTACCCCATGACTGGCAGTCACATGTGCTCCTAAAGTAAAAGCAAAACAAAATAAACAGCATCTTCACCCCCCCTCTCTTATATATATATACATATATATATACATATGTATATATGTGTGTGTGTGTGTGTGTGTAGTATGTGTGTAGCATGTATATTTTCACATATATGAATGTTTATACATATATATCAGCCATAATTAACATTTTGTTCCTTGTGACACACAGGGGTATTTCACAGAGGTCTTCTGTTGGGCATCATTTGGAAACTCAGGGTGACTTGGAAATGATCATGTGGTTGCAGAGAGTATCTGGGTCGCAAGAGATCATGTGTACACTTGGTAAAAGAATGAATGAATGAAAAACTATGAGAGAAATGGAATAATTGTGCCATAAAATACTCTTTCATAAACTAAAACCTTTCCATATTACATGAGAAAAATGTGGAAAGAGAGCTTAAAGTCCAAGGGGGTGAATTTCTTCATTTCTTTGAGAAGGTTTTGTAAAAAGTGATCCAGACAGTAGCAGTTCTAAATGTAATTTTCTTGCATTATTATATCTTGTGTCCAGGACAAACATTGCCCCAAATTCCCACTAGGGTGGAAGAGTTGGTTCTTGGCTACAAAGGAAGTTCATGATCACCTTGGGATGCATGAGACTGTCGAAGGGAAATTTTTTTTAAAAAAAATGACTGTAAGCCTATGCACAGAGAGAGAGCTTGACACATGGCTCTAATTGGGTAAAGTTGTATAGACTAAAGGGTGTGGTATTGTGTGCTATGTGATACTTTTCTTTGCTTTTCTGCTGGTGGCATACAAAACAGGAATTAAGAAACTGTAGACAAGTTCTTGACCATGCACAACTTGGAGCTGCAGCCATGCAAAGCATGTGAGCACTTAAAAACTGCCTTGTGGGTTCAAAAGAGATTCATGGGGGCAAATGATACTCCATGATGTGTTTTCCCATCACAGCAGCAACTGCTAAATATGTTAATCTAATCCTCTCTCCCTCTGATTTCAGGATTGGTTTAACAACAAGAGAGCTAAACTTAGGAAGAATCAGAGGACAATGACAAACACACGTCCCCCTCCTACCAAGGAAGACCTCGCCATGAAGACTTTGGTGGAGTCCAAGAATATCATCATTCTCCAGGAACAAGTTGGGGATGGGCTCATCTGGTCTCACCAGGACTCTGACATCCATGCCGGCCTGAACATCCCTATCTTCCCCCCTTTACATTAGCAATAAAGTAAAGAATTATCCATTTACTCCTTGTGTGTGCCCTCCACAGAAAAGGCTGCTTTATTACAATTTCTACAGAAGGCAGCACAGAGCAGGTGAGGGGCTGGAGCACATAGTGGTCACACCCTTCCTGGCAGGGAGGGAAGGCTCTGCCTGAGCAGCTTTCATGGGCAGTACTGTCCTGGCTTCACAGTCTGCTGCAGCCTCCCAGGGGCCTGTCAGGAACTCTCCTGGGACTTGTGTGATCAGTGTCTTAGCTACTGATTCCCCACATGCTGTCTGTGAAGAGGGCCTTGGGGCAGGGGGATGTGAGTGGAATCAGGAGGCCATGAACATGAGCATCGGGCACTGGCAGAAGCAGTTGATGTGTGTACCTAAGAAGCAACCATTCATTTAAAAACAACAGATCTGTCCAGAGCAAAACAAGGAACCGGAAACTCGGGAATGGAGAGGGCTAGCTGATGGTTACTACCTTTGTTCACCCCCATCAGGGCAGGCTCCACATTTCTATTTTGCTATCCTTGCTCCCACTTCAGCAAATTCTCATTTCATCATTTTTCACAGAGAGAACTGTTTAGAAGTGACTTCATCGTGTCAAAAACATTTAAGGTTGTTTTAAGAACTCCCTAGTGTTGATATGCCATGGCTGGCTGATATACATGGGAGGCCTGCCCTTTTCTGAAGAGAAAGGAGAGGGGAGGTTGAGGGGAGGGACTGGGAGGAGAGGAGGGAAGGAGGAGAAAATGTGATCAGGCTGAGAAAAATTAATTTTAAAAAAGAAAAATAAACTCCCTAGCACAGCCAGGGAGATTGCTCAGTGGGCAAAGGGACACAATGACATTCCTGAAGACCCAATTTCAATCCCTGGGCCCCACAGGATGGAAGGAGAGAACAGATTGTCTCAGATGTTCCTCTGACATCCACATGTTCAGGTGCTGTGCCATGCTCACACACATACTCTTGGAAGTAAAATTCTAATAAGGAACTGAAGTTGAGAAATACACTGATAATTGACTACATCATATGTGTTAGGCCAGTTTTTTTCAATCTTCCCAATGCTGTGACCCTTTAATACAGTTCCTCATGCTGTGGTGACCCCCCAGCCATGAAATTATTTCTTTGCTACTTTATAACTGTAATTTTTGTACTATTACAAATCATCATGTGCCGGGCGGTGGTGGCACGCACCTTTAATCCCAGCACTCGGGAGGCAGAGGCAGGTGAACTCTGTGAGTTCGAGGCCAGCCTGGTCTCCAAAGCGAGTTCCAGGAAAGGCGAAAAGCTACACAGGGAAACCCTGTCTCGGAAAAAAAAAAAATCATCGTGTAAATATCTGTGTTTTCTGATGGTCTTAGTAGACCCCTGTGTAAAGGTTGTTCAACCCCCCAAAGGAGTTGCAAGCCACAAGTTGAGAAGCCCTGTTGTAGGGTAGGCCCTCTCTAGTATCTGCATCCTCATCCACACTCCTGTGGTCCAACAAGACAGTACTGAGATGAACCAGAAAAGGCAGGTATAGGCAGATTTTTCTGTCTGTCCTGCCAACTCCCAAATCACGACATGGATACTTATTAATTATGAAAGCTCAGCCTGTAGCTTTCGCTTCTTTATAACTTGTTCTTTTATAATTTAAACTAACCCATTTCTTTTTAATCTATGTTCTTTTATGTCACTCAGTTACCTTTATATTGCAATGCCCATGTTGCTTCCCTTGAATCTGGCTGGTGACTATCTGAGTCTTCGCTGTTCTTCTTCCCAGCATTCTCTCTGCCTCAAAAGTCCTACCTAGCTACTGGTCATTTAGCTTTTCATTAAACCAATTAGAGTGACACATATTTGCAGTGTAAAGGAATATTCCACAACAGGCAGGTGCAGTTGTAAAGAAATCCTTAAGTTTCCGCATGCACAGTAGTAGAGAACAGGAGCATGTATAAGGCTATGGACTTTGAGGGGAGGGGCTAATTTTTGCTGGGACAGGAAACTACATCAAGGTAAAGGTATCATTAGTGGTCCCTTGAGCAGATGTCCTGGGCTTCATGTTGCAGCTTACACATACACAACTTTTTAAATGATAATGGGGACTGAGGAGATTGCTCAGTGGTTAAGGGCACTTAGTGCTCTTGCAGAGGACACAGGTTTTATTCCCACCACTCACATGGTAATTGACAACCATCCATAACTCCAGTTAAACTCCAGTCCCAAAGGGTTTGACAACCCCTTCTGATCTCCACAGACCCCAGGCATGTACATGGTACACATGCCTGTATGCAGTGAAAACACTCTTACACATTATGACAAATCTATTTTTTTAAAGACGCTAATGTTTATTTTATTGATTTTGAAACTAATGTAAAAAGATGGCCAACTGTGAATGAGCCTGGATTGTTCCATGTTGATAAAGGGAATCAAAGGTTCAGGGAAATTGGAATGCTGGCATCGATTTGTCCTCTAACACAGACTTCTGCATACTGGGAAGGCCCTGAAGATTGTTTGTGAGGAATACTACAGAAAACGGACTTGTGAACCAGTATGACTGAAAAGATCTGTCATTGCTGTTCTCTATATGCCACACTTCACAGTGGAGGTCAGAGGTCACAACTGGATAAATCAAATACAACAAGTCTACTTGTATCTCGGAGTAACAAGGGCCACGTGGCAGCACTGAATCCCCAAAGACAGGACGTGGTCAACAGAGACAAAGTAATGGTTACAGTAGAGAGATGTGTGTAGACCTATTGTGCTGGCACATGCATCCAGTGTTTCCAGAAGTGAAACACATAGAAAGCTCACAAATTACCCTGTCTGTACAAGCAGCGATGCTCTAGAGCATTAAGGGTCTGCCCAGTAAATGGGCAAAGGCCAGCCTTGTCAGATTGCCAAGGCTTAGTAGGAGACAGTGCAGCATGCCTGGCTGAAGCCCTGACTAGTGTCATGTAATCAGGCATGAGAATGATGCCTTCATACCCTCATCTTATACATGGGGAAATAAAACAGAGAGGTCAAGTGACTTTCTCAAAATCACACAGCAGGCTGAGAAGGAAATACAGCAGACCTGTAACTGTAAGGAACCATGTCTCAAAGGAACGTGGACTATCAGAGGGCATGGATGACAACAAGGAGGACCAGGCTCACTACATCAACTAAGCAGGACTCACATGGGCTCATAGAGACTGAAGCTGCAAGCAGGGGTCTGCAAGGGTCTGGACCAAGTCCTCTGTATTTTGTTATGGCTGTTAACTTGGTGTTTTGTGGGACTCCTAATAATGGGACCGGTCTCTCTGACTCTTTTGCCTGCTCTTGGGACCCGTTTCCTCCTACTGGGTTGCCTTGTCCAGCCTTGATATGAGGGCTTTTGCCTTGTCTTATTGCATCTTGTTTTGTCCTGTCTGTCTGTCCTCTCTTGAAGGCCTGCTCTTTTCTGAAGAGGAAATGGAGGGGAGTGGATCTGTGGGGGAGGATAGGTGGAAGGGGTAGAGAGCAGAGGAAGGAGAAACTGTGGTCAGGATATAATGTATGAAAGAAGAATCTATTTTCAATAAAAATTTAAAAAAGAGCATGGATTGTACCTGAAGAATGACACCAAAAGCTACCCTTATTCTCCACATCGATTAAGCATACCCATAAATGAACTCACACCAACAACCTACATCCACACACATGAACATGCACCTACATATAAAAATGACATTTCACATCCAATAGAGTATTCAGTTTTCCAAGTTCAGTTTACCTTAGATGCCTCCCAACTTTCCATCATTTTCTTTGTAGTATTTATGTTGGTATCAGCTTCTCTAATATACAATTTGCCTGAGTGATTTTCTGGCTTCTTTGGCATGAATGAAAATTCATGGAGAGTTCAGAGACTGAACAGAGGAGACAAGCCTCCTCAGCAAAGGCCTCCCAGGATTTTCTGAGTATCCTTTCTTCCACACTTCCCTAATCTCCATGATGGACACTCTCCTGGAAGAAGATTTGCTGCTGGGCCCTCTTCTTGCCCTGAAGCTTCAACGGAGATGTAAAAGATCAGATTTATCTCTATTCATCAACAACAAAGAATCAGGGACAGACAGAAGACAAGGAAACTTTGGGAACAATAGGATACAGGAGGAAAAGAGAACAAGATTCCCTAAAATCATATCCCAGGCCACCTCAAGACCTGCAAACGTCACAGTGAATGGCAGAGAACACTGGCAATCCAGGTGACCCAGCAGCATGATCTGCTGCCCAGAAAGACCAATGCCACGTGACACACACAAGGCAAAAGGAAGCTTAGCCGATGACCATGACCCCTAACTGAGGCTGTAGGAGTGAGGACCTGTAAATCAGTACTCCCAGTCCCCTCTATCACCTCCAGGCTGTTTCTTCTTATAAAATAAGGGTTCACTTACTGGGGTACAGCACTAGTGCACAAAGCTCCTGTCCCACCTATGATGAAGGGGTAGCCACATCATATTAGCTGCAGTTCTAGCTCACCTATCTCAAGCCCTCTGCCTTGTCTTCTATTTCTGTCTGAAGCCCTGGAACTTGGGGGGACCTTTTCTAAAAGCAAGATGAGAAAGGACATGAACACTTAAGACCCTTTCCACCTTCTTCCTGGCCCTCAGTGCCCTTTTACTTCTGCCCAGAGGAGATGTTAAAGGACACTGAGAGAAGAGGTACAGATGGAAAGGATGGGGCCACACCCTCCCATTGGCACACCCCAGAAAGGCAGCAGGAGACAAGAAAGCTAGGCTTCCTAGTTCGGCAACACTAGCAGCTTCTCTTCCTGCTCAGGTTTCCCATCCATAGCGTCACAGTCACAAGAAGTGGGAAAAGACACGGGACACTCAGGACCAACCCCAGTCTTGGTAGAGCATCTCCATTTAGTCCACTGGTCTGTGAGTACACTCACCCTGGCGGGCTTCAATGGGGTCTGGAGAAGAAGAGAGACACCTGTTCTCTGAAGGTGGATGCCCATCCGGAAGAGGTCACTGTTTGCAGTGTGGCTCAGGTAATGTGCCCTA